GTGTTTTCACTCTTGAAAACCTGACTTTTCCTAACTCAATGTGTACTCTTACACGTTTTTCACTCATATGCCATAAACATAAAGGGTGCTGCCCATTTATAACACATAAACCAGCTCCATTTTCTTACATTAGTTGCCTTAGGCTTAGACACTTGTCCCACACAACCCACTGTTTTAGCCTAATGTAGTTGACAACCCCCAACTACTAGGAACATGTAAAGATCATGTCAATAATAATGGAAACATGGCTAAAAACGTGCTAACTACCATCTGCCAGCATTTTGAACAAAGCCAACTACTGCCCATGTGCACAGCATGTGCCGTAACCGCTCTTGACTTGGTCAATCTGAAGCGTGGTGCCCATTTCGTGCCTTGGATTGAATCAGGCGCCAATGCCATTATATTCAGCTGCATTATGCCACATTTTGCCTATGCCATTGCCCACGAACATGGCCCTTTGCCGCGCCCCAATGCCATGACAAGTCTGTCCCGCGCACTGCCTTCCGTTGCACTTTAGCCCTTTGTCCCTTCGTTTTTACCTTGCCTTGGCATCATTGCCTCATTCCTTGATGCCTTTGCCATGATCAAGTGTCACCCTCAGCCCGCAACTCATTGTCAAGCCCTTGCCAAGCTGCCTCGCCTCCGTCAAAGCCTTGGCCATCACTTGCCCGTTTCCCTTTTTGACTTGGTGCTACTCGTGCACCTACCTTGCAACACTCTTGCTGCCTTATGACAACGCTCTCGTTGTCAAGTCGAGCTCAAAGTGGCGGACGTCTAACAGCAAGCTTCATAGAATTAGCATTAACATGTATTATGGAGAGAAATTCTATGTGTTATACTGCACATTCTCCGATATGTAATACCTTTCATTGCATCAATTTTTGCAAGCTTACCGTAAAGAACTGGGCATGTACAACTCTCATTCATATTTTGAGGAGGTTAGGGTTAATGTCCCCTCATTTATGTATTCATATTTTGGTTATTAATCTATATGGTAGGGGTCGATGCCAAACCCCCCGCTACTTCAAGGCTGTTTAGAAAAGCATTATTTCGTTTTTCTTTTTATATCAAATGACCTGGTATCTAGCTAGTGAAGACTCATGTCTATTAGCTTTGCAAATTTTGAAGAAATTATCTCAAATGAGTCTGAAGTACCGATTCACCTTCGCAAAAGACACTTTCAAAGGCATCGGCATCTATCAAGCATTTAAACCTACAAGGAACTTGGATATTGAGTAATATATTACGCATTTGATAGCGTTTTGCTGCCTTAATTTTGGCTTCATATTTTCATGTTTTCCTTGTTATAAGAACGACATTGTTTAACCAAAAAATGGAATTTCAATCAAAGCTTTATTTTTAGAAGAACTCGGGTTACTGATAATCGGAAATGAATAAAAAAATGGATTTTGATAACCAATAGATAGCAGAAAACAAAGTAAACCAGTATATTCAGATGATATTGTCGTGTCCTTACAAATGATCAGTCTTCTCGCTTTTATAGCTATTTTTAAGTTATACGTTTTGCCTTTATCATAATAAGGTCATTATGGACGATTAAAGGCATTAAATGCTACGTTACATAATTGTATGGGTCAGAATCCGATCTCACGGTAATTAACGGAGTTAATCTCGTCTTGAGCTAATCCATAATTAATAAGTGGTATGGCCACTTATTCATAACAGGATTCGACTCTTATCCGATTTAATCTACGAGGGCACGGCCCATTCATTCCCCCATGGGGACGGAACCTCAGCGTGGCCACGACCATTTATTGCCAGCTCACGAAGCTCACATCTATAAATACTAAGAGCGGAATCCCTAGAAAGGGGGCTGCTTCTTCACCACTATTCACAAAAGAGAGAGAGAAGAGAAAAATATACTCATCTTATGGGAAGAGAAAACACCATTGTAAGGCTCTGAACCTCTTCATGGAGAGGCAGACCAAACCAATATTATCAATAAAAGCTGTTAAGATTTCTTCTCCTAACCTTGAGTACTTATTTTCATGTTCTTCGCTTGGTCCAATGGATTATTACGATTTGCTATGATTTTTCCGTAACTTATTTGTATTATTTTGCACTCATAAAGCACACGATAACTTTTGAGCAAACAATTTGGCACCGTCTGTGGGGATTTCATAGCAAAATCGCGTAGTTCTTCCATGGACCAAAAGGAAAGAAACGCCGGAAAAGGAAGAACAACCCAGCTTAAACAAGCCAAAGCGGCATATCAGGCCGATGGAACTCGAAGATCTCGAATCGAGATCCAGTTCCTCTGTCTCTCATCTATCGGATGGTGCAAACAAGAAGAAGAAGCCCCCCCCCCTCTTTTGGGGAGAATCTTCGTAAGAGATCTCCCACATCCCTGATAAGGGCTCCAGCCGGAAACCAGCACGGAGGAATCTCGAATCGAGAATCGCTTCGAGACAGCCTACATACCCCGGTTGGGAAGATAACGATTAAACTGCTCAAGATCTCGAATCAAAACCGAGCTTCAGCTCCCAAAAACCCACGAACCAAGACAGGCTATGCGCCTTCACCAAAAAAGTTCAACTACGGTTGAACCGGGACTCAGGCTATGCGCCTTCACCAAAAAAAGTTCAACTACGGTTGAACCGGGACTCAGGCTATGCGCCTTCGCCAAAAAGTTCAACTACGGTTGAACCAAGACAGGCTATGCGCCTTCGCCAACAAGTTCAACTACGGTTGAACNCATAAAGAGGGGAAGAAAAGGGAATTCAACCACTAAAGAACTTACGTGCATGGTTCCAAGCCTCTGGGAACCCAGTAGCATCCGCCACCAGATGCCTGGTCCTGATATAAAAGAAGTGCTCGAAAGGGCGAGGGTCGACCTCGTCATCCAATCTCATGACCAGGCCTCTCGACCCACGAGGGCACGCCTGAATCATGGTGCCACGGACTCTATGGGGAGCGTAGAGACTAAGCACATGCTGCAGCGTGACCTCCCTACGGGCCAATTCCGCGTACTTGATGAACATTGCCAACAATTTGTAGAGGGAAGGAGTGAGCTGACCCGGGCACACCCCGTAATAACGGCAGAAATCCACCACCAGCATTGGGAGCGGGATCTTGAACCCCAACCTGAAAGGATAGGCGTAAAAAATGCAGTATCCCCTGCGGTCGGTGTGGACCCTCTCCTCGCTTCTAGCGAGAACGATGTCTGCATGGGTGGGAATGACCCCCTGTTCCCGTAATCGGGCCACCCCAATCTCCCCCATTAATGGGGCTTCATCCACCGAGTCCTCTCCACCGTCGATAGTGAAATCAATCGCCAGACCTCCGGGCCGAAGAACTACCTCGTCAACCGACGGAACTTCTCCGGTCTCTATCTGTTCTGCACCTCCCATTGCCGGAGGTGGCCCTTCAACTACCGGAAAATCTATCGGAAGAGCATCGTGGGAAGAACTGCCTGCCATTGTTGATCTACTAAAGAGAAAGGGATAGAATTCGGTGGGCAAGACAAAGGTTATCACAATCAAAGGAAAGAAAGGAGAATATGAATTAGCAGAATGAAAAAGTTTCCTCAGAATCTCTCTCAGATGAACAATGAAGATATGAGAAATGAATGCCTCAACCCACCTTTATAGGCAACATAAACGGCTCTCGCGAAACCCAATAGCCATCATTAACTGCACGACCAACCGTAAAACGGTTCGGTTCTGCCGAAGCATGCGTCATTATGACAAGCTCCGCGAAGCGGCTTCTCAGCCATCCGCCAACGTCCCGCCTTCAGAATAATCGCAACGGCCTGCGAACGCTGAAAGAATGTGCCGTACGCCTTCAAAATTCTGGACGTGACCAAATACGTACCTGGCGCATACTCGTTCCCCAATATATGAAAGGCTACGACCATCTCTAATGTATGAAAGGCTCTCCAATATATGAAAGGCTACGGCCATCCCCATTATAGGAAAGGCTACGACCATCTCTAATGTATGAAAGGCTCTCCAATATATGAAAGGCTACGGCCATCTCCAACGTGTAAACGGCTAAGGCCACCGCCGTCAATAAGTCGACCCCCTTATTCGAGTTTTTTTTTAATTACAATCGATGAAGTTCGCTCATCGAGCTCGGCCGAAACACGACCTCAATAAGCGGAGGGACTAACTGTATGGGTCAGAACCCGATCTCACGGTAATTAACGGAGTTAATCTCGTCTTGAGCTAATCCATAATTAATAAGTGGTATGGCCACTTATTCATAACATGATTCAACTCTTGTCCGATTTAATCTACGAGGGCACGGCCCATTCATTCCCCCATGGGGACGGAACCTCAGCGTGGCCACGGCCATTTATTGCCAGCTCACGAAGCTCACATCTATAAATACTAAGAGCGGAAGCCCTAGAAAGGGGGCTGCTTCTTCACCACTATTCACAAAAGAGAGAGAGAAGAGAAAAATATACCCATCTTATGGGAAGAGAAAACACCATTGTAAGGCTCTGAACCTCTTCATGGAGAGGCAGACCAAACCAATATTATCAATAAAAGCTGTTAAGATTTCTTCTCCTAACCTTGAGTACTTATTTTCATGTTCTTCGCTTGGTCCAATGGATTATTACGATTTGCTATGATTTTCCCGTAACTTATTTGTATTGTTTTGCACTCATAAAGCACACGATAACTTTTGAGCAAACAATAATCATTGCAATTTAATACAGATCCTCTAACGTTTTCAGTATTTAATGCTTATTAAACACTGTATCTGGGCTCTCCTGTATTGTCAGGTTCATTCTTCTCAGCTTTTAGACTTAAATAGGTACGAGCATCGAGTCTTTTGAATATTTGCTCGTACCTCTTCTTGTGCTTCTGCTCGTATCTATTGCAACTCGTGCCTCTTTGCTTTATCACCATTCTTTGACCTGCCTACGTGTCATGACATGTCATCTTTCAATCACTTCGATATGCATAAACTCAGTTTTACCCAATACAGGTATGACAAACATTATTTTGATGTTGAAAAGATTATAGCCAAGAGAAGAATAAAACATCACATCCTTTTCACAATGCAAGCAAGAAGAAACATTATTGGCTCTCGTGCAGTTTACAGCAAATACAGACAACACCAATTAAAGCAATAAAATGACATTTGACTTTTGCCCACCACTTACTACTCTTAGACCTTCGGTAGATCTCACGTTCACAAATCACAACAACACGGAGCTTTCAATAATATGAGCTAGCTAATTAACGGACCCATGACAATATCAACATAAATTAAATACAACAAATTTCTTCTCTTCTCCCCTTCCCCCTTCTTTGTAGGGACATATGTGTAGTGTCGGTAACGATGATTATATACTGATATCTATATGCAGCATTCTTTTTCACCTGGTTTCCGAATTTAATCACCGCTCCAATTATATGCACCATTTAATATGTATACAAATAATGGACAGTTGATGTAAAAGTTTCATATTCCGGCCACACATTCTGGTGGGGGGACTGGATTTCTGGATTTGTCAGTGCAATAATCATAGATCATGTGGTTCATTCTAACCCAGCGATATTGCCTTGCTTCCACAGCACTGAGTTGTTGGTAATTAGCTCCTTCCCACCAATTGCGTGGATTTGAGGCACAATTTGCTGGTCCTGGCATTGCACATCCCTCTATGTCAAAGTCCTTGTAGTATGCGTAAAATGGGGATTTGCTCCAATTTATTTTCTCTAATCCACCTCTCGTTGCCCAGTCATCGGCTTCCCACAATGTTGAATACACTCCCATGGGTTGGAATTTGGGGAATGGGATTCCTTTTGCTTCGTTGTTCTTATACACTCTAATGGGTACTGAGTCCACGTAGAATCTTCAATAGTACAAACAGTAAAGTATTATTTTTTGTGATTTTTAATTAAAAGATCGATGGAAGAATAATTGTTAAGTACGGCTTACACAGTATGATGGTGGTTCCAAAGAATAGTGTAGGTATGAAAATCAGCGGATGGATCGAACCAAAGGTTGATCCTTTGTTCCTTGTCGCCCTTTCCATGGACATAGACATTCGTTTGGACAGTGTACGGCTGGCCTGACCTGTTTCCCAAGAACTCAAAGTCTAGCTCGTCCCTTACGTTATCTGTGTCCGAGTTCATCTACAAATGATAATGTCACATGCAATAATTAATTTCCGCGAGCTTTAACTTCTTTGCACTAATAGTATATAATTGTTTTACGTATTATAATTGCTTACAATGATGAGTAACTGTCTATAGTGATTTAAAATTGGTAACATGAAAATGCAATGCTTTAAGTGATTAAAAACCATAGTTAAATATTTTACACTGAAATTTATATAATTAGATTCTGTTCATATTTAGATTAAACCTCTTTCTTTTACTTTTCCAGGAAATGAAATCTAGGGGTAAATTGTGACACCCAAGTAAATCTCTCGCCGACGAAAACACGAAAGAGATACTGGGTATAAACTCATGTAAGCTTATCTTACAATACTACTAGTGGATCGCGCTGTTATATAAACTAAACTAAGTACACTCTACTTACGTAAAAGGCGGTGACAGTTCCAGCAGAGTCGCCAGGAACGAGCTTGATCTTCATGCTAACACGTCCAAAGAGGTACTTGCTTTTGGAAGCAAACCCACATCCTAAAATCAAAAGGCAGCGATATTCAATTACTAGCTTCATGCATGAGCATGACAATTTAAATTAAACGCAGAATAAACTAAAAAAAACAAGAAATGTAGTAATTAACTATCGTATAACCTGAGTTTTGGTCGAGTATAAGCTGAATAGCCTTGCCGCCATCGATTTGCTTGATGTGAGAGTCAGCCCATGCCACTTTAAAGTCCTGTAAAAAAGTGGCGGGTCGTGCACTCACCGAAAATGAAAAGGTCAAGGCATATAGCAATATTACAATGACAGCGGAATATTTTAAGGGAGAGGAAATCATTTTTTCTTTAAAAGAAACCAATGAGAAGTACTGTATATAGGTTATACCATTGAAGTTGTGCTGATTGTCTGAAATTTGTGATCTTTATATATGCGTTAACATGAGGAGAAGGAAAGGAAAGAAAGGAAGATGATGGAGACTGGTGAATTCAAATGGAAAAGCCTCCATCTAGGATTACCTTTCCATACAGCCAACTGCAAGCAGTCATTGGACCCCCTAATATATATTGTACACCTAATTCTCTCTGCGCCTAACTTCATTAGTCATATCATCATTTAAGAACTCCCCATATCTTTCCTTTCAGATTTCTTACTGTTCTCTAATGTAATCTAATAAGCTACATGTCTAATCCACTCCCTATTGTTTTTTTAATTTTTAGCTTCATATATAAGTTTTGACTTTGTATACCTTAGTTTCATTTCACTTCCTATTTTACGCTATAGGGATATAGATACACGTTACAAATAGATGTTCTTTTATCATGATGAGTTCTACTTGAACCGAACATGCATGCATGTCTCTATCATGATATTTTGCAACTTCTACTATCCAAATAGCTTCCTTTTTGCAGTTAAATGTCCTGATTTATTTATTTAGAGTCAATCCCTGATTGGTGTTGTAGTATTCAACTTATGATCTGGATGTACACTGAAACCTACTTTGTTTGTTTCAATTTATATCTTTATTTTTCTCTGCATTTGTTGTTTGGTCTTGGAGGGGGTTAATTATGAAATAACAAACTTCATTACTGTTACATTAGGTGCCATAAATAACATTTATGGGTACACCCAGTGTTTGGATGGTCAATCATGCATTATTGCTAACGTAGGTTGAGGACCTATGCTATGATTATTGAGGATACAACTTTTCAAGATAGAAGCCACTTCTCCCTCTTTCTTGTTCATCAGTTTCTTCTTTTTACTAATAACGTTTTTTCTCATTCTGTATGATCTATCCTCACCTTCGTAAAACCCAAAGTAGATTTTCTCTCTCTTTTTTTTTTTTTTGGCTCCTTTCAACAATATGTAAACTACGATTTCTCCTGTGTTTGCCTCTTAGAAAAAATGGTTCGTTATATTTGAAACACAAGAAATTTTAATTCTCGTGTAAAATTTTGTATTACTTATTGTTTGGCTCAAAAGTTATCGATATACTTTGCAAGCTTAAAAACAATCAAAAGCAAGAAAGGGTAAATCGTAATCAAATATAATAGACCTAGAGATCAAAAATGAAGTTGTTGTTGTAGATCTAATAGTGATAATATGAACTCAAGAGAAAGTATTCGTTAGAGATAGCGATAGAGAGAATATGAGAAAATGAGAGAGTTGTATTATTTCCGAATTCCCCCCTTTACAATGTGAAGGTCTCCCTTATATAGTAAGGGATCTTCCTCGAAATAATCAAAAAGTTACAGAAATAGGTAACGTTTTCCTAGTGAAGACACTGAGTCCTAAACGATGTCGCTTTTGTCCCCACGTCCGAGTCGTACCCATTACGTTAGTCGACGTATGCTTACTGGGCGTACCCTTCGGCGTAGAGACGTTGATGGCCATATTTGACCCCATACAGTTAGTCCCTCCGCTCGTTGGAGGCGTATCCAGTAGACGTCTTCAATGGGCGGAAATGCAGACCTCATCTTTAGAAAATTTGACCTCACTATGGGGGCGGTGACGTAAATGAGGGGAAATATATGGCATCGTTGAGCTGCTGACGTGTGGACCCCTTTTCGAAATGACGTCAACGTCCGCATGCGTCATAATTATACTTACTCCCGAGGCGGTTCAGAGGGTGATGTGATGTTCTGGTTTCCCGCCCCTGTTTTGAATCATACCCCTTCGATTTTTGTGCATCCTAACCCTATAAATAGAGGGAAGGTTCAATCCATTTCATCTTTCGAACCTTTGGAGAACCTTTTCTGGCTTCCTTTTTTACCTTCCTTTCTAGTAACCGCTATTTCGTGCGAGACTCTCCCACTTCTGTTGAAATCACACTTCCTATCGTCAGTGCTTCGTTTCTTACGTAGGATAACATGACAAAACGTGGACAGAGTAGTAAAAAGGCCAAAGATAATGCCCCATCTAGGGTTCCGCCATCTTCCGGTGGTGAAGGGGAAAAGGCAGAGAAGGCCCTTGTTCCTCTCAGTGTAGACAACGTCCTTCCGAAGGAGATGCATGTTTGCAGGGATTTTCCAACTAAAAGCCCAGCCCTTCCCTGGGAGCACAGCGTTTTATTACAATCCCACTTAGATGATCTTCGAGAGACGCACCATATTCCGGACCACGTGGAAATGGTTCCGGCCGGGACGGACTATGCCAATGTGCACCGGCCTGGGTACTGCACATTCTATGAGTACCCGTTCTTGATCGGTTACAATCTTCCAATCTACCCTCTGATGGAGGAGCTTTGCCGTTTTTACAATGTGTGTCCGGCTCAGCTCACTCCTTACACCTTGAAGGTGTGCCGTATTATGACCACTTATGCGGCCAGGGCTGAGTGCAGCGTCTCGGTCCACCACCTCTTACAGTTATTTAGCCCTGGTACCTGAGGGGTACCATGCTGCAGTTAAAAAGTCGTGGCACAAGGGGCTTGGTTGTTAAAGCCGATGACAAGACCAACCGCCGCTTTTGGCGTAAATATTTCTACATCAGGACGGAGCACCTGATGTCAAATCCCAAAGGGTTCCCGAAAAGATGGAATCCAGAACGTAAGTATTTCTACTTGTAGAATTCAGGACTACTTGCGCTTTTGACCATACGGCCATTGTGATTTCTTTGCTTTTCCCCCCTTTTTATTCACAGCGAGGGCTTCTCCACCCCAGTTCATTGAAAATATTAAATCGTGGGTGGAGAGGATGATTCCGTATGCGGAGGAATGCCGCACCTGGGCTGTGTTTCGTGAACAATACGGCCCGCCAGGTAACTCTTTGGCTACGGTTTGGAGGTTTCCTACGTTTTTGTTACCTGACTTATTCGTGTTGGCAGGTCGGAGCGCCCCTAAGAAGAAGAAGAAGAGCGTCGTTACCTCGCCTGGGGCGGGGACTGACTCTGAAAACGGATACATACCCTGCGGCTCGCCCAGTGATGGCGCTCCGGAGGTTCCTCAACCGCTGCCCGTGGCGGTGTCCACAAGTGAAGCGATTCCTTCAATGCCATCCCCGGGGCCTGTGGAGGAGACTTCTGAGGGCGAGGAGCCGCCGGAAAGGAAAAGACGCCGGTTGATAACTGGCAAGGGGATAGCCACAGAAGACGAGGGGGCGAGCGAGCCCCGTCGGGAGTCAAGGCCAGTTTTTATGGCAGATGCCATCCGTTCTGGGAGGTCGGCTCCCCAAGGGAGGGCGGTTCCCGATGCCAGCCCAACACGCATTCCGGAGAGCGGCTCGTCGGCTGCCGTTGGAGAAGCGGGCGACGGTACCGAGAGGGTGGGCCCTGAGGCCGCCCATGCGGATGCAGATGCGTTAACGCGGGGTCCGGCCCGTGTGGGGATGACGGCAGGTAGATCCAACCGCCGAATTCTGATCCCAGGAGGGTATAACCTGTTGCAACACAGCGAGCAGGCCGCAGCGGATATGACCCTGCTATGTGCGGCCGCTGAGCGTGAAATGTTAAAAGGTGTTAGCGACGGGGAACTATCCCGGAGGGTTGCTGGCGCGGCCTTGCAGGTATTTTTTGATTTTCTTCATGTATCGTAAAGTAAATTTTGATGCATACTGACTTGCCTTTCCTCTTTTTCCTCTTCTTTAGACTCTCATCTTGGAGGTAGAGAGGGGGCGGCGAGCGCAAAGGAAGGCAGCCACCTTTAACAAGGTGGTAAAGAAATATCGGCGTTGTCGCGTCAAGCATCAGGCGCTGGCGGACCTACTCAAGCAGGACCCGGAATTTCGGGTTTTCCGTGAGGGTTTGGAGCAGTCGGAGGCTCAGCTGAAATGGAGGGTGGCCGAGCTGGAGCAGATCGACGAGCAGCTGATGACCGCTCTGGCTCGGAACATTGAGCTGGAGACTCTTCTCCAGTCTAAGGAAGAAGAATTGGAGGTCGGCCGTGGGGTAGCGGCGGAAGCCGCTGATTTGCGAGCCAAGGTCGCTGCCTTGACCGCCGAGCTTAATTCCAAGGCGGCTGAGATTGAGGCCCTTAAGCGGTCTGTTGCGTCAAGGTCTGATGAGGATGCGCATCGTGAGGCGCATGATATGTGGGTGTATGCCGAGGCCAAGCTAGTCGTGTTCGAGGAATTCTTGGCTGCGGGTCGAGCTACTAAGGCGGAGGTTCAGGCTCAACGGCGCATAGCCCGTGTCGCCCGTGAAACTTGTGGGTATAGTTCTGATTCCCCAGACCGGGCGGGCTATAACTCCGAAGACGTCAACCGTCTAGAATCCGGCTCTTGGATCTCTGCGGCCTATCAGGCCGAGGACGGCGGTGGACGAGATGGCGGTCCGACGGGGGCGGTGAACAGAATGGCGAAGCCCCTTAGGACTTGTATTCATTTTGTTTTGCTGTATTTGGAGATGTAAATGGGTCCTTTTGTACATGTATTTTTGGATGATAATGGAAGTTATACTTTTGCTGTTATTCTTTTCTTTTTGTACCTTTTATTTTCGGCCTTAATATTGTTGATGGCCTTAGCCGTGTGCGTAACCTCGACTGTCGTCGAGTTACTTGCCGTCATAGTCGAGCTGGGTCGACTTATTGACGTCGATGGCCTTAGCCATAATATCGTTGATGGCCTTAGCCATGTACGTAACTTCGACTGTCGTCGAGTTACTTGCCGTCGTAGTCGAGCTGGGTCGACTTATCGACGTCGATGGCCTTAGCCATAATATCGTTGATGGCCTTAGCCATGTACGTAACTTCGACTGTCGTTGAGTTACTTGCCGTCGTAGTCGAGCTGGGTCGACTTATCGACGTCGATGGCCTTAGCCATAATATCTTTGATGGCCTTAGCCATGTACGTAACTTCGACTGTCGTCGAGTTACTTGCCGTCATAGTCGAGCTGGGTCGACTTATTGACGTCGATGGCCTTAGCCATAATATCGTTGATGGCCTTAGCCATGTACGTAACTTCGACTGTCGTTGAGTTACTTGCCGTCGTAGTCGAGCTGGGTCGACTTATCGAAGTTGATGGCCTTAGCCATAATATCGTTGATGGCCTTAGCCATATACGTAACTTCTACTGTCATCGAGTTACTTGCCGTCGTAGTCGAGCTGGGTCGACTTATCGACGTCTATGTCCTTAGCCATAATATCGTTGATGGCCTTAGC